CCAACCCCCCCCACCACCCCCCCCCCCCACCCAAACCCCCCCCCCACCCAACCCCCGCCCACCCCCGCCACCCCCCCCCCCCCCCGTGCCCTCACCTCCTCCCCCACCAACCCAACCCCCCCCCGGTCCTCCCCCCCCCCGGCCCCCCGGGATGGGCCCTCACCCCCCCCCGGTCCCTCCCCCCCCCGCCCCCCCCTCCCCGGCCCCCCCCCCCGCCCCCCCGGGCCGGGCCCTCACCTCTGGATGCTCCACACACACCGTCCGGATGTCCAGTGCTCTCAGGTAAGTCTCCAACTCTGAGCGCAGCTCAACCGCGGCCATTACTGCAGAGCTCTCACACAGCGGCGACTGCACCGCAACTGACACGTCTCCTCCTCCTGTTCCCCTCCTCCCACACAGCCTCGGGGCCACTCCTCACTCACTCACTCACTCCCTCTCCCTCACTCACTCCTCACTCACTCACTCCTCACTCCCTCCTCACTCACTCCCTCTCCCTCACTCACTCCTCACTCCCTCCCTCCTCACTCACTCACTCCTCACTCCCTCCTCACTCACTCCCTCCTCACTCCTCACTCACTCACTCCCTCCTCACTCACTCCCTCCTCACTCACTCCCTCTCCCTCACTCACTCCTCACTCACTCCCTCCCTCCTCACTCACTCACTCCTCACTCCCTCCTCACTCACTCCCTCCTCACTCCTCACTCACTCACTCCCTCCTCACTCACTCCCTCTCCCTCACTCACTCCTCACTCACTCCCTCCCTCCTCACTCACTCACTCCTCACTCCCTCCTCACTCACTCCTCACTCCCTCCTCACTCACTCACTCCCTCCTCACTCACTCCCTCCTCACTCACTCCCTCTCCCTCACTCACTCCTCACTCACTCCCTCCCTCCTCACTCACTCACTCCTCACTCCCTCCTCACTCACTCCCTCCTCACTCCTCACTCACTCACTCCCTCCTCACTCACTCCCTCCTCACTCACTCTCACTCCTCACTCCCTCCTCACTCACGCACACTCCCTCCTCACTCACTCACTCCTCACTCACTCCCTCTCCCTCACTCCCTCTCTCCCTCCCTCACTCCTCACTCCCTCTCCCTCACTCCCTCCTCACTCACTCTCTCCCTCACTCACTCCTCACTCCCTCCTCACTCACTCTCTCCCTCACTCACCCTCCTCACTCACTCCCTCCTCACTCACTCCTCACTCACTCACTTCCTCCTCACTCACTCCCTCCTCACTCACGCACACTCCCTCCTCCCTCCTCCCTCACTCACCCTCCCTCACTCCTCACTCACTCCCTCCTCACTCACTCCCTCCCTCCTCACTCACACTCCCTCCTCACTCACACTCCCTCCTCACTCCCTCCCTCCTCACTCACCCTCCTCACTCACTCCCTCCTCACTCACTCCTCACTCACTCACTTCCTCCTCACTCACTCCCTCCTCACTCACACTCCCTCCTCACTCCCTCCCTCCTCACTCACCCTCCCTCACTCCTCACTCACTCCCTCCCTCCTCACTCACACTCCCTCCTCACTCCCTCCCTCCTCACTCACCCTCCCTCACTCCTCACTCACTCCCTCCTCACTCACTCCTCACTCACTCCCTCCTCACTCACTCACTCCCTCCTCACTCACTCACTCCCTCCTCACTCCCTCCCTCCTCACTCACTCACTCACTCCTCACTCTCTCTCTCTCTCTCCGGGACTTGCTGAGGTGGCAAAAAACACACACACACACACACACAACTACATGTGATTCCTAACTGACTCGCGTCCCTGAAAGTCAACCTTTAAGTTCCAAACTCTTAAAAACTTTACTGTGACTTATCAACCACTTACATTTATATATAATACACACACACACATATATATATATATATATCTTTTTAATTGAGTCACTCAATCCACCACTGTACGCGGGACGCTGCTGTGCGCGAGTGGCTGCCGCCTTTCGCCCACAAAATATACAGTCAATCCACTTTGCAGTCTCTTCTGGGAAGTGCTTTGACACGTCGCGAAGACGTGATAAGGCGTCATACTGAATGCAAGGATTTATTACTATTTAGCGCCCGTCACACGAATAGAATCTCAGAGCGCTTAACATTGGTGTGGCTTGATGCCGAAATTAGCTGAAATTATTCACCCAGCCAAGTTTTAATAAAACAGAGATTCTATAATGCAAAATAAATTCAACATAAAGTTGACACTGAAATGTACACAATACCTCCATTCATCAAAAATGCAACAGATCTATTTCTGTCTATTAGCAAACTAATGAACTGTGTTTACAAACACTACTTTCATCACAAGTAAATATTATCAGACTTCCTACCCCCTATACACATACACATCCTGTTCCTCTCTAATACTAAAATGAAAACATCCAGTACCTGGTCTTATTGCTTAAAAATATAAACAACAACACTGTCTCCCTTTCATATATACATTTGTGAACAAATCTTCACACTGGGGCCACTCACTAAGTGGTAGAATAAAACATTTCCAAACCCAAAAATGTGTTACCAAATAGATATTTGATACCAAAAAAACATTAGCTGATTGGCAGATCCGTTTCCAGGGGTAATAATCCCTTCGCAAAAATTAATAATAATTTGATCATTCAATCCACTACTGTGTGCAATTGGCTGCTGGGTTTCACTCACAAAATACAGTCAATTCACTTTACAATATATTTTGTGAAGTGTTTTGAGACATCTAAATGACATAATAAGGTGCTATATCAAATGCAAGGATTATTTATTATTATTATTATTATTCGGATACAGACATAGCATCCAAAAGTAATAACCATTTTCACCATTCATTTGTAACCCAGTCATTAATTGTTAATGACAGTTTGTAATGTTTTTAAGCTGTTGAGTTAATCAACTGAGGGCATCTTGAATCATTTTTCAAGCAAATTTTGTCCACAGCCCAACAGAATGCAGCAAAGAAAAAATGGGGCAAAGATGCTGGAAAAATGCAGCAAATGACTTTTTGATTAGATTACCTTAAAATTGTTAGTTCCACTTATTCATAACAACAATATTTCACAATACAAGTGAACCAATAATGACAAACGATGATGCAAAGTTTAAGATTGTGATTGGAGATTAGAAATCCAAGTATTAGTAACAAAAGTGTGGTTTTTGTTACAGACTAAACTCATTGAAAGGGTTTTGCCCTGCAATTAAATTGGGAGTGGGAGTAATTGTTAGACTTAACCATGGTCAATTCAGTGCCAAGATGTGTGCTGTATTTTTGCATGATTATCTTTTGGAGTCACTTTACTTTATTCCCCCTCATATATGCCTGGTCCACACAGCTGGAGTAACGTGAGCAGATACCCCACTCCAAGGCTTTAATAAGTACTCCAAAATGCCTTGTGTGAAGGGCACTATATAAATACACCTTATTGTTTAATCCTTGGTTCTTTGATCTTGCTGTTAGATGATAGTGAACAGAAAGGCCAGCCACTCTGCACAGCAATCACCTGTAATGCCTACAGTAGTTTATTACCATTCCAATGTTCTGACAATATACAGTATTCTTGTAAGTTTTAATAATAATAATCCTTGCATTTGATATAGCGTCTTTCACGTCGGGAGGACGTCCCACAGCTCTTCACAGAACACACTGTAAAGTGAATTGACTGTATATTTGTGGGCGAACGCGGCAGCCAATTGCGCACAGCAATGTCCCACAAACAGTCGTGGATTGAAAATGACCAATTTATTATTGTTTTTGGTATTCGAGGGATTATTATTAGGCTCTGTGTGGAGTAAGGAAACTTGCTCAAGGTTTCGCCCTCTGCCTGGAATTGAACTCGGGTCTCTCGCTTGCAAAGCGAGTGCTCTAACCACTGAGCTACAGGACTCCACAGTTTTGTTGAGAAAAGCAAGAGAGAGAGGTTTAAGAGTTAAACTGTGAAAATAAATGTTAGCATTTTGGAACAGAGCTTGAGTTACCTTTTAAAGAATGAGCTGAGTTTATATAATTTCTGCTTGCAGGATGCTACAGCGTAATGATGCGTTTTTAAACAAAATGTAACTCTAATCATCTAATGCAACAGTCAAATACACTTCTAACATTATAATAGCTGTTGAATTTTTAATGGGTACATTACAAGTTCAGTGGGTGAATAAATAATTGTCAGAATGGTACAGCAACTTTTCATTCTGCAGTTAATCCGCGCTGCAACTTACTCATCACTTATGCATAAGACCTACTGACAAGGGGATCACCTCACGTTCCAAACCAGAAGCTCACGCTCCTTTACCAAGATGGCGGCTCGAGCGGCGGTGGTGGGGGGGGGGCGGGGCTTCCCTTTGCCAAGATGGCGGCCGCTCGTGTCGTGTCGTGTCGCGTCGGCTCGTCACGAAGGGCTGAGTGTGTGTGTGAGAGAGAGAGAGAGTGATGAGTGAGTGTGTGAGTGAGGGATGAGTGAGTGTGTGTGTGAGTGATGATTGAGTGTGTGTGAGTGAGTGATGAGTGAGTTTGTGTTGTGTGAGTGAGTTTGTGTGTGTGAGTGATGGATGAGAGTGTATGTGTGAGTGATGAGTGAGTGTGTGTGAGTGATGAGTGTATGAGTGTGAGTGATGAGTGTGTGTGAGTGATGAGTATGTGAATGAGTGAATGTGTGTGTGAGAGTGATGAGTGAGTGTGTGTGTGTGAGTGAGTAATGCTTGAGTGTGTGTGAGTGATGAGTCAGTGTGTGAGTGATGAGTGAGTTTGTGTGTGTGAGTGATGAGTGAGTGATAAGTGAGATTGTGAGTGATGAGTGAGTTTGCGTGTGTGAGTGATGAGTGAGATTGTGTGTGTGAGTGATGACAACACTTTTCATGTCAGGATATCTCATAGTGTTTAAAGTGACTGTATTTTGAGATAAACACAGCAGCCAATTTGCGCACAGCAATGTCCGATACATAATTTTATTCCCATTCTATAAGATCATGGCTGAACTGTACCTCAACCCCAATGAACCGCCCTTGCCCCGTATCCCTGACCTAACAAATATTGAGCCACTTCAGTCTTGCAAAAATCCCATTTAAATTTCCGTCTGTGGAGTCCTGTAGCACAGTGGTTAGAGCACTCGCTTTGCAAGCGAGAGACCTGGGTTCAACTCCAGGCAGAGGGCGAAACCATGGGCAAGTTTCCTTACTCCACACAGAGCCTAATAATAATCCCTCCAAAAACCCAAAACAATAATAAATTGGTCATTTTCAATCTACGACTGTTTGTGGGACATTGCTGTGCGCAATTGGCTGCTGCGTTCGCCCACAAATATGCAGTCAATTCACTTTACAGTGTGTTCTGTGAAGCGCTTTGGGACGTCCTCCCGACGTGAAAAGCGCTATATCAAATGCAAGGATTATTATTATTATCATCTCTTAGTTCACTGCTATAGTTTGTAATTTTGAGTCTCCCAGTTTCCAGAGCAGACTCTCCAATCAGTCCTTATTCCAGGCTCCTTTCTCCCTTGTCCCTTGTCTGGTTGACGATTACTATTAGCTGCTTCTGGGGAGAGAGGGGTAAGGTAACTGAGAACATGGGGTTCATATTAATCAAAAAGAGGTGATTTATTGGGTAAAATGGACTTTTCTTGTTCATGTTCTAAGTACCCAAAGTTCTCATCAGCGTTCTCAAGAATGGTTAGATCATTGAGACGGCTGTTCCTGTTCACCCAGAACAGTTTAACGTCCTGTTCAAGTATAGTACAAAATTGTTAAAATGTTTGCAAGTGAATTGTTCAAGACTCTGCAACTGTAACAGAGTTGCTGTCAGCATCAAGCTGCATGTCACTATGTTTGCAAGCGTATCGCTATGATTGGTAAATGTGGCTATCTAACCCTGTATCAATATTCAACTCACATTAAGTATCATAAAAAAAGTGTTTTTTTTATTAGGTTAAATAATGGGTTACGGAAAAGTAACCTGCTCCTTGGCATTGTGAAATAACACTGTGCATTATCACGGGTTTATAGATTCTATAGTAAAAATATCATTCACTTTATTTTAGTTATGTACTGCACAATAATAGACCAAATGTTAGCTATTATTTTTGAAATTGTCTGAAGGGTACTTCACTGTACAGCAATTCTGCCATTAGTGGATGTGCCTGCTTTCAACAAAAGCCAATGGATTATGTTTTATTCAGGAGTCAGGGTAGCGCTCTGAGACTCTACTCTGCATGGAGGGCGCTATATAAGTGCAAGTTGTTGTTGAGTTATAACAGAATATTACTTAATTACATTTGATTAAAAAATTGTGGGGAGTGTAAGTACCCTACATTCAAAATACAACCCCTTCCTCATCGTTTTCTTCCCTTTTAGTTGATTAACAATCCTTGCAATTTGATATAGTGCCTTTCACCTCAGGAGGGATTTGCTGTAAAGCGACTGTGTATTGTGTAAGCGAATGCAGCAGCCAATTTGCAAATAGCAATGTCACACAAAAGTAGAGACTACTTAGTTTACATAATTGAATGTTCCGGGAAATTAGATTTTTGGATATAGAGTGTTTATTTTATTTTGCAGGTATTCACAGTTGAAGCTATGATGCCTTACGTGAAACACCTTGTGGGAGCACATAGTAAAAATTTGTTCCTTAAAGATAAGAAAAAAGGCTTGTGGTTGGTGACCGCTTTACACGACAGACAAGTGAACTTGAATGATCTGGCAAGGAAGCTGGGTTGTGGAAGCGGAAATTTGCGCTTTGCAGATGAAGCTACAATGCTGGAAAAATTAAAAGTCACTAAGGGTTGTGCAACACCATTTGCGTTACTTTGCGATAAACAAGTGGATGTGAAATTCGTGTTGGATTCAGGCTTTGTGGAAGGAGGACATGAAATGGTGTATTTTCACCCAATGACTAACACAGCCACTATGGGTATAATGCCAGATGACTTTATGCGATTTGTCACGGCAACAGGGCATGAACCCAAAATTCTAAAGTTTGAGTAAAGTGTACACCAAAGTTCAGGTAAATGCCATATTTCTATGAATAAGTCCAACTTCAGAAAAATTCACATACAACAACAACAACAAGATTACATTTGTGTAGCGCCTTTCATGTCTGGACAGAGTACAGCATTTCAGACCCGAGCTGGGGTTGGGGGGAGTAAGGGAGGGGACATACAGTGAAATTGCAAGAATATTATGTTAGGTTGAGGAGCTCTATAAATAGGATGCATTGTTGTGCATATAATAAAACTGACAAGAAACAACTCACTTATTATTCACAAGACATTTTCACTGAATATCTTTGACCTTTTGACATGGATTCTTATCTCTGTATTAACAGAGCAGTATCTGCCACAGTGCCAGAATATGTGGCATTGCTAAGTTCTTATTATCTTGTACCACTTTATTTTGGGTACATATATGGGGCAACAAAATGTGTATGAAAATAATTTGCTTCTCCAGTCGTCAGAGCATAAATCTAGATCTTAGCGAAATGTTTTCCTCTTTCTGGTAATTTTCTTAAACTTTGGTAAAATATCTAACAATGATCCAGTCACTAATGAAGAAAAGTTTTCACCTGGCTTGTTGCATTGCCTTAGTTCCACAGTGCCTAATTTTTAAAAAAATAGCAATTTGTGATAAATCTTTTCATGGTGTGATTGTAGCAGCACGTACTTGGATGTGGTGAGCGGGTCGGAAGTTTTAACATTTTTACATTGTTTTGTGAAACCTTGGAATAGTAATAACCACTAATTTTTCTCCCTGTGAAGCTGAGATAATCTTTGAGCAGATTTTTTGCTTCATTGAAATAAAGGAACCAAGTGAATTCCATCAACATAAACATTAAATGGGAGAAGTTGAAAAGGAATGTAAAGGGAACATTACAATCTTATATCATTAGTTACTTCCCCAAATGGTCAGCTAATCCATAGACTGCTGGCAGATCTGCAATGTCTGTGTGCGTTAATTAGTTCTCTACATTTACAGACCACAAACTTACACCGAAACAAACTAAGATCATAAAGCTTGATACCCAAGCACAAGGATTGCTGTATTTGGTGTACACCACCACAACAAATTGCAATAGTATAGCGTCTTTCACATCAGGAGGACGTCTCAAGGCGCTGGTCAGTCCAGGGTGACATTCACCCCCAACGCATTAATATAAAAACACTTTCTCTTCGATATTCTCTCTGCTATTTTTTATTTAACCTGCTCTCTATTTAACTGCCATCTAGTCCAACCTTTTTGGTTACATTACTTAAAAGCATTTCATTTAAAAGCTAAAAACTGACTTTTTTTGTCTTGGGTGTTGTATTGGTTTTTAAATCGGTTAAAAACTAAAATTAGAAGCTCTATTTCATTTCAACAACATGTTCATAGTGTCGAAGTAGGTACCCTGTGTGAAGGGTGCATTTAAAAGCAAGTTGTTATACATTTACAGGCGAATGGATAAATGTTCCTGACTGTAAACATTATTTTGTTCCACATTCTATTTCCGTACATCTAGGTTATAATGACACTTTTTAAACAATTGAAGGAAAATAAAATTGTCCAACGATTTTTGTAAATGAATGACACTTCCAATAAAAAANTGATACAATTGAATATTTCTGAATTGGTTTATTGTAAAAATTTGCATCCTTTTTTGCTGTGTAAAGAACTATGGTTTTGTGAAATATCTTACTTTATTGTACACCGTCACTTTGCACGAACAGATGTGATTAAATTAGTTTACAAATCAGCTTGAAACTGCATTTTTTTAAAAAGAAAAAACACGTGAAATCAGAACTAGGTGGTACATTCAAAGAAGCATATTATAAGGTGGCATCTCAGTTTTTTTATGCAAAGCAGCATGGTTTCTGACAGAACTTTGGAGTCAACTTTACATGATAGAAAACAGTTTGCACATCAACAATAAGACCAATCTTTTCCTAGACCAGCTAGAATTATTGACTAATAATAATCCAAAAACAAGCTTTCAACAACAATTGTAGGCTATTTTCAAATAAATAGTTTCAAAGAGTTTCAAAGTATCCTGTTTTAATTTCTTATAAAAGCCTATTTGTCACATACAGTAACTGGCACACAATCAGAGGTACTCCATTCATAGCAATGGAAACTGATTTTTCCTTAATGGATACGAAATGAATTTTTGTTTTCAAGAAAATAAGTCGTACTGTGGAGTTTGAAAATATGTTAAAGAATAGCATTTATTTCAGTGCATATTTACACAAAAATGCACATTATTGCTTTATTTTAATAGCTTATACTCAAAACTATTTTGCACAGTTTACTTAAATAGCTTTCATACCTAATTCAATCTGTATACTAAAAGTGTTCTCACGATTGACAATTTACACCCAAACAGACAGAAGCTGTTCTTTTTGTACGAAATGAGCCAAAGCCAAACTTCCTTCTTAATCTAGACAATGAGTGATTACTATTTTATCGTGGCAGTTAAAACTTACAAGTTAAATTTCCTGAGTCTGTTCAAAATCATTAAAAAGGCCATAAGCATCAATCTCTGTCAGAAGAAAATAAAAATACTCGGGAGGTGGTTAGTACCAGAAGGTTGCTGAAAAGCACAGTATCTGTAAAAGGGCCATTTGAAATTTAGCTTGAAAACTGGAAGACGCACTCAGGTTTTTTTGCTGGTAAAGTAACTTGAAGCATACATGTGGGTGACGCTCTACCATGGGACTGAGATGAGGAAGAAACTGAGCTCTCACTGGAACTGCTCCGAGTCTCTGTGCTTGCGCTACTTTTCTTCATCTTTCGTCTTTTTGCCAGTGGAGCATTGTCAACGCTTTGGAGGAAAAATCCTTCCCTCTTGCATTTATTAAAGGCCTAAATAAAAAANTACAACAAAAGGTAATCCACATTATATGGTAATGCAAGAAATGTAATGTTGTAAGACAGCATTTCATGACTTTTTCCAATTGTGTTTATCCAGGTTCCAGGGTGAGCAAAAAGTTGTGATACCATTGCAATGTCTAATAAGTCTTAAAGAAATTATGATATTTTGGGGTTTTAGATAATAGGGTAGTTATCACAACTTTTTGGTCACCCTGTATTTTATAGCTGGATCACTGATTGAAGTACATATTGTCCATTAATAGCATTAACTCTGTCTTGTGCCGAGATTGATAAAATGCTACCAACAAAAGTAAGTCTTGATGTATAAAATATGCTAGGTATTCACTTAGTCTCTATAACTTGAACACATTAATCTTTACAGTTCTGGGTATGATAGCCTGAAGAAATAGCCTTTAGAGTCAATTTTGAGCGATTGATTGGGAGTTTTTCTAAAGCTGCTGTTGTGTACAAAATGGGTGAAGGTTCAGAATACAAGATTAGTGGAGTGTTAAACAAAATGTACAGAAAGAGTAGCATATGCTTTAATATTTAAGACCAAAATAAATACATTTTAAATAATAAAAATAGAAGAGAATGAGGAAGAGAGAATGGCTGAGAGAAAGTCTGGGTGAGTTGTAATAAGGTGATTTAAATTTATTTTAATTTACAATTGCATAAGTGCTTTTGACAGATAACACAACCAAAAAGGCTTCTTAGACAAAAATAATTATTCAGAGCACTGTGCTATTATTGTTACTTTTTTTTTACATCTGACTAGGTTTATTAGAGCAAGAATTATGTCTTTTCAACAACACGGTATGAGCTAAAAATGTGAGTGCCAACTTGTCTCAGTTGGTAGCGTTCTTGTCTCTGGGTCAGCAGGTTGTGGGTTCAAGCCTTACATTAGGTCTTGCTCTCTTACTATAGGTTAATATAATGCTCAAGCATAGTGTTAGACAGTTACATGATGAACATTGTGGATTTAGATATTAATCAAGGTCGACTTCATGGTTGTCAGCGAGATATTGTTGGTGCAAATGATTGACTGCTGTGTTGGTCTACAAAATAAGTCACCAGACTTGACAGCAATTACCCGTGAAGCTAACTCATGTCACATGTAAGGATTATGATTAGTTAAAAATGTCACAGGGAGACTGTAGTTTTTCAGGACCTGCTAAGTTATTCAGTCGCATAGGTGTAGAAGCCTCCAGCTAATGTGATAAGGAATAAAAAGTATAAATCAGGTTTATTGTTCCTAATTGCTTTACAGCTGAAAATGGTGCTGCTTTGCTTCTAACAATATAACCTGGGCACAATCAACTGTGGTCTTGGGATCCTACCATAAAAGTAGCCTTGAAGTAGTTGCTGACTGATCCAGAAGATTCAAGAACATTTGGAGACATCAGTGGATCGGAGGACAAGCAGCTGCCTTCTTGCAACCAGTTGTTGTATCTCAAACTAGATATCTTCAGGCGGAAGTTTGGGTCCACAGTAAGCAAACCTGTAAGAGTTATTGTAGGATTAAATCTCATGCTGTTCTGAAAAGCAAGAGTCAGAACTGATATGACTTCAGAACATCCACACTTTTAAATCAAATTTTAACCATTTGTTTCTAAGTATTTTTTATATATAAACTATGATTTTTTAAAAAATACTTTAGTTATTATAAATAATTTCCCCTACCCTATTACAAACTCATCTCAACAAGGCCAGTACATTAAAACCAGCAAAGTTCTTCCCTCCCCCTCACCCCCCTTTAAGAGAGGGGAGAAAAGGCAAAAATATATCAGTTTGAACCCTTGATGATTTATGTACTTTCCCCGAGAAATATTAAAAGCTAACTTACCTTTTATCAGCTCCTTGGCATCTTGTGAAATACTGCTCCAAGCCTCCCCTTTGAGTGAGAAGTCTCCCTCCTTTATCTTTCTTGTTATTTCATCAGCACTTGATGGTGTCACAGTTCTCTGTTCACTTTGGAATGGGATCTGCCCTGACAGCATTGTATACTGGAATGAAGTAAAACACCACACCTGTAGTAAAGGACTACATTCCAGTCTGTAGAAGTTGTGTTCACCTCCAGAATACAAATAAATACAGAGTACAGTAGATCCTGTGAGGCATTTTGAGAAATCCTCCTGAGTTGAAAGGCATTATATCAAATATTATTATTGTTACTATTAATAATAATAAAAAAGGACTTTCCTGGCTCAGTTGGTAGCACTCTTGGCCAGGGTTAGAAGTTTGTGGGTTCAATCCCCTGCAGGACTTAGTTCATACTTCAGTGCAGTACATTGTCTTTCAGATAAAATCTCATCTGCCTGTTATTCAGTTAGATGTTACCAATCAATCCTATGACGATATTTGAAAAGAGAAGAGAATTTCTCCGAGTGTCCTAGTCAATGGTTAAATCAGTCATTTGGTAGGACCTTATTGGTGCAAAATTACGCTAAAAGCAATCGAGATATTTCATCATGATGAGGTACTATAAAAATGTAACTTCTTTCTTCTTTCCTCCCTTCGGTCTGGACTAGATTGAAACCCGTGTTTTAGTGGTAATCGAATGATGACTCTATCAAGTAAGTCTCTTCATAAATGTTTTAATACCATACAATTTACCAAAGCAGTTACTGTACTTACTAGTATTACCCCCAGGCTCCACAAATCACATGATTCATCATAACCATTCTGCTTGAAAAACTCTGGAGCTGCATAATGCAAAGTGAAGCATGGAGTCCTCAATGGCTGGTTATCAGAAGGTTTAACCCTCGCAAATCCAAAATCTACTATTTTGATTGCAGCGTCATTACTCTCATCAGAAAACAAAATATTCTGGTTAAATGAAAGAAACAGTATATGAGGAATTTTGAAGAAACATGGAAAAACTCGCTTCCAAATTAAGACCAAATTAAGGTGTAAGAATTTTTCTAAAATTGTTTTTTAAGACTAAAGCCTTGACAAATTTCAGACATTTAGTTCTCACTCAGTACAAGTTTGAATGGATAGCTAAGAAAGTGAGGCAGATGTGTGTGAGTGAGTGCGTGTATGTGTGCATGTTTGTGTGCATGTGGAGAGGAAATAAACTGGTTAACTCCATTATGTGCATTGCTTCAATGTGCAGTACCACTCTGATAAGTAGGGCAATTTCTACGTGTGTAAATATTTAATTAGTCATTTCAATAATAGATAACCGAGTTCAATTGCAAAAAATAAAGGTTCTTAAAATGTGTTCTTCCCCTCCGTCATATGATAATACTAAATATGTACAAAATAAGTTGTCTTGATGATTGTACCTCAGGTTTTAAATCTCTGTGCATAATTCCACTGTCATGCATGTAACTAACAGCAGACACCAATTTGCCCATGATTCTGCTGGCCTCAGATTCATTGAACTGCTTCCTCTTTTTAATCCGTTCCAACAATTCGCCACCTCTCAATAACTCCATGACGAGATATGTGTGCAACTGGAGGAAAAAAATAACAAACATTAAAATGAGGAACGTATGAAACTAAACATCAACAATGACATCAGCAGATACACACATGAGGGAGAGGGGAACAGAAGGGTACGGGAGGGAGCGGATTAGAGACTTATGTGAAGTATAAATACCAGCAGACTAGTTGGGCCGAATGGCTCATTTCTGCACAGTACATTCTTCGTAAATCTACGTAAATCAAACTGAATGCAGTATCAGTGTCTGGGGAGTGGAGAGTGGGGGGGGCTAGGTTTTCAATTTTTATTATTTTGTTATTGGAATACGAGTCTAAATTGACATTTAAACAATTACAAATAACAATAGAAGGGTAACAAGATATTAAACTAATTGAATATATAGATGATTATTTTATACGTAATGGAACAATAATGTAAATCAATGCTCATACAACAGTTGACATACTCATATTTATCTTATTTACACACAAATAATACGCTTATTGATCTCACATAATACCTGATCTGGCAACAATATCAATTTAAGTGCTATGTAATCTAACACCAATATAAGAGGCACATTGCTGTTAAGAATTTGTGGCTTGTAAATTAGATCATTCCTGTACAATAATAGCCAGCTAAGAATACCAAGCAGTGCCATCGGCCCATAATGTTTTATTTTAATATTTCTTCTTTTGCAGTTTGCAGCTTTAAACCAGAATAAAAACATTTTATTGTGAATACTTTGGATGAATAATTATTGCAGTCTAAACAATGCATCTAGGGATGCAAATTGTTTACCTGACAAATTAGCAATTTCAAATGAGAATAATGCTATGAAAAGGAGGAATTACTAAGGAGAACGTATGTGATACCTTGAAGCCATTTGGCCACTCAAACCTAACCTGCCATTTAATAAAATGGCTGATCTTCTAACCTAATTCCATTTACTCGCCCTATCCTCATATCCCTTAATCCCTCTATCCTTTAGAAATCTATCAACCTCAGTCTTGAATATATATTAAATATTTACTTGCACCTCTTGTGTAATTTTGTACCTGATCATGGTAAACTTCATACAGTTTAACAATATTGGGGTGAGGGTGGGCGTTCAATAGCTTCAGTGCGGAAATCTCCCTCTGTGTACTGGCTTCCAATCTAAAAGAGGACCAAAACATTAAGAGGATTCACATACTTATTGTGTAAGCACAGAAGAACATACAAAGGTGAACAATTAAAAAGGTGGTAAAGAAGGAGCAATTACAAGATCAGAATTCCATTTCCAATCAATCTAATAGAAACCCATCAGAAGCCACTGCTGGTGAATTTGAATTCCAGTTCCACTGAACTGGCTAGAAGGTCTAATGAACCACTTTTGGTCATATTCCCACCTCTACCCCCCTCTGACCCCCATCCCTCTGAATCCAACCCGCAGCTCAGGTGCAAACCCCTCAACACTCCAGTACCTTGGGACATGATAATAATCCCTCCAAAACCAAAAACAATAATAAATTGGTCATTTTCAATCTACAACTGTTTGTGGGACATTGCTGTGCGCAATTGGCTGCCGCGTTCGCCCACAAATATACAGTCAATTCACTTTACAGTGTGTTCTGTGAAGCGCTTTGGGACGTCCTCCCGACGTGAAAAGCGCTATATCAAATGCAAGGATTATTATTATTATTATATATTATTACATGCTCCCGACATGAAAGGCACTATAAAATTGCAATTTGTTGTTGTTACTGTAGCTGGTCACAAATAATAATCCTTTCATTTAAAATAGAACCTGTAACATTGAACTATCTCCTCAAAGCACCTCATAGAGTACTGTTGTCAAGTGTATATAACTTAAGTGTGGTAACTGTGTATTTGTTGGCAAACAAATTGCGCCAATTTGCACACAGCAAGATCCAGAACAGTAATGAAGTGAATGACCAATTTACCTGGAGGCCTGTTAACCAGGCCACTGGGATAAAAGTTGAATGTAGGCTTTACAGGTCTATCAGATCTAAACTGTGGTTTCATCTGGTCAGATGCCATATTTTTTAAGTTTGATCGGCTTTCTCTTACCGTCTACTGATGATTTTGACACAGTATTCCTCCCCAGTCCTTTTGTGTCGACACTTTCTACACACAGAAAAACTTCCTTCACCAAGTGGTTGCTCTTTCATGTTAAGTTCATACTGCTGATAAAACAGGGAATCCTAGGGACACACAAATCAACATTTTTATTTGACCTCCCTTATATTCCTTGCCAAAATAGCTTCAGAGTGAAGTATAGAAATATTTGAGCCATTCTTTCAAAATTAGCTTGAAAGGATAATAATAATCCTTGTATTTATTGTAGCGCCTTATCACGTCTTTGAGACGTCTCAAAGCACTTCGCAGAATATACTGTAAAGTGAATTGACGTACATTTGTGGGCAAAATGCGGCAGCCAATTGCGCACAGCAGTGTCCCACAAACAGTCGTGGAATGAAGGTCCAATTTTTTTTTTTTTTTGAAGGATTTATTATCCCTGGAAAAGCGATTCGCCAATTGACTTAACAACCGGGTTCCTATTTACTGCCAGGTAAACAGAGGCGTGTGGAGTAAGGAAATAAGCCCAACATTTCGCCTTGCTGGGAATCGAACCCAAGTCTCTTGCGAGGCGAGTGCTTTAATCACTGAGCTACATTTTTACTGACATAAATGAATACCATAAACATTTCACTACTTCGAGAATGATTTCATATTTAATCTAATTCAGATTTGTTCAAGTATATTGATCCATATTGAATAAAAAGCTTGTCCATAAAAACATAAGAAATTGCTAGTTAAGACCAAGCTCCACCCAGTTTGCCTTCCACTACCCTGGCAGTTGCATGTCATGTCCCAGTTGGTATGTTAAATAGAGTGCTAAATAAATTAGGATATTCTATAGAGATATAAGTACTCTAACCTTTGTCATTGCACAGCGTGCAACTGTACTGCTGCCCGGACGTTCCATGGTCATTTGAAGATCAAGTGCATGATTCATTATGGCATTTCGATTAAAGAGAACAGACGGAGTCACAAATGAGTAGCCCTGCAGGCAAGAGGAACAGAACCACAATGTGAAGTAAAGTGGAGATGGTTTAAGCATTGATATTTAACAAAAACATACAAAAGCATGGAACAAGAACTAGATTTTTGTTAGGTGAGGGTATAATGGGAGGTGGGCAAAGGCAGGTAAATGGAGTTGAGGTATAGATCTAATAGAATGGTGGAACAGGCTTGAGGGCTGAATGGCCTATTCCTGTTCCTACGTTCCTAAGAAAAGGCCATTTTGTCCAATAATCCTGTTCCTTGGGTAGATCACAGTTCCCGCAAAAACCTGCCCTTATTATATGCTTCATCTCACTCACTCTTAACTCCTGGACAAAAGCTCAACAGTCCCTGAAAGACTCTCCCAATAGTTAATTAAATAAGAACTCCATTATCACTATTAAATCAATCAGCGTAAGAATGAGGACAGTTTGGAGCATTTCCCTTCATCGCAATTGACTTAAGTAGGGCTACAGATGGAACATTAACCTAACGTCCTCCTTTGGATTCTTATTGACATGTTGTGAATTTCCGCTATTTATGGATTAGTTGTCCCCTAAAAATTTATGGATTTCTAGCATCTGCAGTTTTCATTTTCTAAAGTTTTTTTTAGTTTCCTGATTACAATGTAAAAGCATGAAAAGAACATCCAAAATGTGAACAGAAGCTACAATCTCTAACAAACTCAACAGATGTATATCAATATACTAGAAACAGACAATATATAAAATATTATATTATATACACATACAAAAAAATACTTGAATAATGAGATGTCCAGGGATAAAGAAGACTGCAGTGACAAAAGTGAAAAGTAGAACCCCAAATTGGGGTATAACATGCAGTGATTGCTATCAGGATTGTGTTAATAAAGCATTGGAAATATGCCACACCAACACATTGGACATCCACTGCTGTGAATGCACTGTTGGAAAGTAATTCTTGTGAGGTCGCTGTGCATTCTTTTGGTTACCAGAAGGAGTCCCCATTTAATTTCCATAAGGAAATCCAACAGCACAGAAACCACTGTAAGCTAAAGGTTTATCTGACTTAAACAGCACCTTTAATGAATGATCAATAATTATATCTGTATCCCTTCCATTTATAAAAATACAGAATAACACTGCACTGCACATAAAATGCTTTATGTTTATCTTAATAGATCAGTCTGGCTCAGTTGGTAACACTCTCGCCTCTGAGTCGTAAGGTTGTGGGTTCAAGCCTCACGTCAGGACGTTGAATTCACATAGCGAATACTCCAGTGCAGAGCTGGGTGGGGTGGTGGCACTGTTGGAAGTATCGTCTTTCGAATGTGGTGTTAAACTGAGGTCCCATTTGCCTGTCTGGGTAGATATTAAAGGTCCCATGGCTCTTTTTGGTACACTGTTGTCTGCAAATGAGCTGCCTTGTTCATCCACAAATGCACAGTCACTCCCACTTTACAGTGTGCATACTGCAAATTTGACATGAAAGGCAATCCACCTTCCATTGAAATGATCGCGAAAGGGCACATGGATTTAAATCAGGGGCTTCCTGATCTACATTGAAATATACCAGCCCTGAACAATACCTGTAACAGTCATGAACACCTGTTGAATTTGGAAGAAGTCTTACTCCTCTATTCCTTACAATAATTCAACATCTTGTCACAGTCACAGGTAGAGGCCAGGCATATATCTGGCAGAAGGGAGGACAAAAAGAAACTGCAATGGAGTTCCACCCGACACTTCCCCCTCTCCCCACCAAGTCCCAGCTGTGTAACTGCATTGTTAGACACCAGGGATTATTTTGTTGCCAAACTAATGAATGTTGTACAGAATAGAAAGACCTGAGATGAGGAGGGGAGAAAGTCCTAAAATTAAGATACAAAAAATGTGTTTGTCTCTCTCCCTTACAATGGTCATTAAAATGAACTCCCTGATAATATGCTTCCCACAGCACCCAGAAACTCTCTCCATACCAGTAAGGCATGAAGAACTAACAAAGAAAGTATGAACTATCATGCCGTTTATTAAAGCATACATATTGAAACCCCTCGATTATATCAGTGATTGTTAGTGTGACTGACATTGGACATCTCTTCCGCAGTCCCATTAACTTAAGTTTATTACAAACCACATTTTATTTGTTGTCTCAAAATAGCCTTGATGCACCAACCAACCCTTCAATCTCTGTAGTTACAGATGTGACATACCTTAAACAGATCTGTATTTTGAGGAACAGCAGCAGGAGAATATGCTGGATCCATTCTTGTAAATTCTTCTGCAAAATTGCTGACATCTAGTTCATTCTGGATGACTGGTTTAATTGGCGGCCTGATTGCCTTGGCTGCTAAATCTGTCCAGTTTAGATTCTAAAGATAAATTTTGAATTGCAGACTTAAAGATCAGAAGTATTGCAATAGAATTAAAATACAGTGCAATTAACTTGTCTCACCAAGGTTAGATTAAATACTATTTAATTTTAAATTAAGATACCAGTAGCCGCTGGTTAATAACCTTAACTACTATCTTAATGTTGTGCTGAGTTAGCTGATTTTAGCCGGCGCTACTAAATTAGGAGTCGTTATAAAAAGTGCATGATTACCTACGATTCTTTGCTGATAATCATGCACATCTCCAAACTCTATTAATTTATATTCAGTAGACAATAACCCCCTAAATGGTCACATAAGAAAGCGTGCTGACAGCATGGCAGCAATCTTGGCAAATCCGATTACATTCCAAAAAATTATCAGAAGCATGATAAAAGAAATAATCTGAGTTCTAAATCAAAAATGCATTCAGGATCACTCTTTCCAATAATTCTAGTGTTTACTATAATCTTTTTGGTCAGCCAAATGTCTGACAACTAAGAACCTATTACCGTGCTTACAAGTATCCAACCCCAAAAGAGTTCCATGCCACAAACACATGGAAATTCCTGTGTAAGGCTTTAGCTTGCAGGGTTATTCTTTTACAGGAGCTGAGTGGGAAGAATACCTGTCCCCAATGCCCTTCCAAGTCAGGCTGGCTGGTCTCTCATCAGTGGCCCTGGAGTACTGCGGACTCGCTTGGCTCAGGAACCAGACTATTGAGTCCACCATGGAAGGTTGATTTAAATCCCATATTCTACTGCTACACATTGCAACTTGGAGCCAGCTCAACTCAATACAAGATGAAAAATCTGTTCTGTGTAGCCCCCTCTGAAAGAAATTATTGTTCAAATGGGTTTTGACTTAAGCGGTTGCTGGTGAAATCTGGTTGGCAGTGCTCATCTTTTAAACCTGGGTGTGGCTACGTCGTAACGTTTCTTTTACAGCCACACAAGACGGTATAGAGTAGAAGCCAGAACGGTGTATGATGGCAGCTATAAAAATATTATTTTACTCTGTTTAAGAAAAACATTGCATAATTCAAAGTATTGCTTACATGATGTATATTTTAATTGGAAATTATTAACACAAGATCCAATTTTTGATTGTGACTGAGGTGAGTTTAGAGCTGTGAAATACCTGGAAAAAAGCGTGAGATTTTATCTCTTCAGCTCCATTTGGACCCAATCCAAGCCTTTGTTTAGGATCTTTGATCAGCAGTTTCTGTATTAAATTCTTGGCTGCAGCTCCAATTCCTGCAGGGAATGGAGGTTCATTTTTCAGAATTCGTCTAAGAGGGGATAGAAATGAAAGCAGTTTAAAAAATTTGTACTGCATTGGATGAATCATCTTATGTGAGATGTAAGATTAAAATCATGCAATAATTATTTGTAACTGGAATAGAGACGTTAGCAAGGCATTTTAATTTATATTACATCTAATAAAAAGGAACACAGTTATTGCCATGATAAATTGTTGCCTCTGATAAGTAATGCAAATACTGTAATTCTTCCCAATTTACTTAATTACCGTATGTAGTTAAGCATGTGACAGTAATAAAAGTATTAAAAACGCATCGAAACATCCCCTAATTTCTTCCATCTTCAGCATTCAACAAGAACTGAGTGAACCAGACGCTCCCAAAATTTCACCAATACTGTTCTACAACAACAAATTGCATTTAAATAGTGCATATTTAATGGCCCTTGATGTACTTTAAGCTCTCGGAGGGCTTTAAATCAATGTGTTCTAGATCAACTATCAGGATGGCATTTCTTTAATAATTTGCCTTCCCTTCTTAATGCAGAGATGTTGGCACGTGCTCAGCACATGATCACCATAACACTCCTAAGATAAGGAACTCAATGTAGAGGGGAATTTCAGCTATACACCTATCATACCAGGGACTTTCTAAAAGTAATGCCTCCTATTTATTTTGTGAAGAATGGTAGATGGTACAGTAACGAAAAACATACGCAAGATACTATTATATATCCTGCCCCTGCTGTGAAAGTTTTGTTTACTTCTATCTTGATGGAAGCACATGATAGCAGTTCAAAATAACGCCTAGCATCGATACAGGTGTGAATTTCTCACAGCTGAGGAGATATCGCCGATTGAGATTCACCATTGCATGTTGAGAGTATATGGAGTATATGTGTTTTTGCGAGTAATGTGTTGTTGCGAGTACTGTAAGACTAAGTAAATCATGTGAAAAGTGGTGAAACTGAACTTTACAATAAGTCTTACAGGGCAGCTGGCGGCTGTTAATGAAGAAAATAGACAGAAATTTGATGAACTGATCCGCAAATATCAACTCATCACTCAGTGTGAGTTGAGTGAAAGTCTTGGCATCGATTATCGTGCAATAAAGATGTTTATCAGTAATCTTGGTTACTCTAAAGTTTATGCTTGGTGGGTTCCACAAATGTTAACTATGTTTCACAAGGAAACCAGGAATTGATATCACAACATTTTATCACAACGGCATACTGACACAAGTTCCACATTCGCGCAAGTGTGTAGATCGTGATGGTGACTTTGTAGAAAAATAACTGCACTGGTGTATATAAAAAAGATTATTTTATGTCTATGTTAAGTTCTGTAAATTAACAATGAAAGAATTTTGAGAAAATAGAAAGTAGGCATTACTTTTGGGGTGTACATTGCTTTACTCCAATGCACTTTTCCCAAAAGCATTTGCTTATACAAAGGAGAAAGACTAAAAATGCATCAGCGTGGAATAAAAGTGGAGCTTAACTGTTTTGAAAAAAAAGTCACAATTAAAGTAAATCTCTACTTTGGACTGATGATCAGATAGCAAAGTTTTAATTTTATATATTTTTTTGAAAGAATCCTTAAAAAACAGCAATTATTATTGTACACTCCGAGTTCATTTAATAATATGAGGTAATTGGAAAGAGTTTTGTTAATACTGCCCGAATTGTGGTTTCAACACTATTTCAATGAAAATCGGAAACAAGGTTGTATTTGTAACAAGACCTAGAAGCAACCTTACATGTACTAATTAGTGGGCTGCTGAAAATTCAAAAGGGTCAATTGCAAATGAATTTGGAATGACATGAATTGACAGGAACTTGCAGTGATTACAAATCTGAAAATTAAGAGTCATCTGCATTTCCTGGGCAATGTGAATGGCTGAGTGGTTGTCCTTGAGCAGAGATTACTTGGTAATGTATTTTCAGATTATCAGGAAACTGTATAATTTAAAATCTCGAATGACTTTTAGTATTGGGTTTGACCTGAATGTGATGGACTGTGGTCCTGTAAAACCTTATTACAGTAATGCAACTAGTGTTACAGGAAGGCATCTTGTGGCCAGGACAAACAGGAAATTACAGTGGGAAGGAGTTGTGTCACAATATCACACTTTGTTTCAACAGGCCCAACTTGCCGCAATCTATCTGGCTATAACCTTGCCCACGTACCAACAAGCACAACCTTTCCTGATCCATCTTGGTGCACCGTCATGTCTACACCAAAGCTATTGTGTGGTGCAATCCCTTCTGCTAAAACTTTCCCTGATCTGTTCTGCTACACCCTTAAGCCCAATATCAACAATCTATATTGCTGAACTTCATGTCATGCATCAATAACCACATCCTACCTCAACCTTACATCACATACCGATAGACACAACCCGCCAAAATGTACTATTTTCAACACACACAATTCAACTCAGTGCTTTTAACAACAACGACTTGCATTTATACAGCTCGTTTCACTTAAACTTCTCAAAGCACTTTCCAGCGATGGAGGGGAGCCCAAGCCGGGTGGGAGATAGTTCCCTATTGGAACCTCATACTTGTTCGAATGGAGAGGTTTGAGGTTATGGTACGTGCTGATACTATGAAGGAATTTGTTTCCACCTTCATCTAGTACACTGAACAAATCAAATCAGTGGCAAGAATTGCTTAAGATTTTAGGCAATACTTCTATTTATATTCATTTCAAGCTCATAATGTTTAAGGCATTTTCTAAGAGATCCTAAATAACATAAAGGGATGTTACATTTTCCTAAAGGTGGTGTGCAGTTTTAGCATGAGAGCACTAGTCTGAAATGCTGAGGTCGCAAGCACTCAGTGTAATCTCAAGCATTTGTGAAATATATGGTTGGTTTGCTATTCAAAACACAGTTAGCACGTGAAAGCAGATCATTAATATTTAATGGCGGTGGGGTTGCAAAAATGTGTCATCTTCTATAAAAGGGCTTTGTTGAATAAAGCACTGCAGCACTACACATGTTTGAGAGGAAATGTACAAATGGGTTGTCCATTCCTCCCCTGCCCAGATAAAGAAAGCATTATAGTTACAAGGTTCTGAAATTAAAAATAGTCTTCAATGAATTAATACATTTATTCCACGTTTCTCTTTGCTCAGCACCATCATTTTTTGCAGAATGACAAATTCGTAGTGTGTCACCTTGAAATTTCTGACTGGGAATTTTTCGCTCCGTCCACAGTGAAAGGAGATGCTCCTGTCAGCAGCTCATACATAAGGACTCCAAGGCTCCACCAGTCAACTGCCTGCTCAAACACAACATTATGTAACAGTGAATAAAGAGCTTGTCAATTTACTGCTCAATTGCTTGATAAAAAGAAATTCCCTATTTCTTTCAAATGGTACATTTAACATACACCTGAACAGGCAGATGTGACTTATAATAATAATAATAATCCTTGTATTTGATATAGCACTTTATCAGATTTTTGTGGTATTCACAAAATACCAAGTACAAGAGTTCGGCTGATATGTAACATTCCATTATTCAGTCACTTAGCTGTACTTAATCCTCTCGTATCTACTCTATTTTGGATGTTCCAGGCTTTGCGTACTCAAGCTCCCTATTATCAATTATGTCACACAAATTTCCTTTATTTCATGATAAACATTATATTTTGTAAGTCTTAAATTAAGATAATTCAAGCGTATAAACTATTGCAATTAATTAAAATGGCCTTGTTAGGTAAAAGTGCAAGGATAATTATAAGGCCCTTCCATAGAATGAGTCAGCTAAATAGTCACAACTTCATAAATATCTGTGGACTTTGAGTTTCAGGTGCTATAATAAGAGCCTGTCCAGGGGTCAAAAAAGAGTTCATTATCAGGAAAACAGTTGTAGGGCTATTAAACACATTTTTTGTCTTAACCAGGTTAGATGTGAACACATACATATATGAATTATAAAATTAATTGGTTTAGATCAACCAGATACTGCATCTATAAAGCTACACTGTTCTATTCTTTCCAGCACCGAATTTGCAATTCTGCAAGTGGAAATTGAGTCTCCCAAAACCATTAACTTCAATTATCTTCACAGCAGCAAACATCAGAAAAAGTTACTTCTGACCAGAAGAACACATCCATACAACAACATATTGCGCTTTTTTTTAGAAAAAACAAAGGCTTGAGCCTGTGTCAGCATTTTACCTTCCTATTATGTGAAAATACTGCGCACAAATAGACTGCTGCATTCGCCTACAAAGCAGTCTCTGCACTTTACAATAAATCCCGTGCAGCACTTTGAGACTTCCAGGTACTCTTGTACCTGGTATTTTGTGAATACCACAAAGACCTGATAAGGTGCTACATCAAATCCAAGGATTATTTAAAAAAGGCCCCACAATAAAAACGGGGCAGTTTCAAGAATCAGTCCGTAGTTAATCATCATATTGTTCAAGCCTATATTTTATATCTGGGTCTCAACATAAATGTCCCACGGAAAGAGCAGAAATGTAATTAATGGTATCCACAAAGACACATGAATATTCGCCTCCAATCGAGCTCTGCACGAATATTGAGGAGGGATGGGGTAGAAGAGAGAGAAGAGCGTTAAGAGACTGGTCAAAATTAATGATAAATCCTAAAACAATGTTGATTGCGCATTTATTATTTCTTGCATTATGCACTGTAGTCTACCACTTTTTCACATTTCCTTTTGTCCAGAAGTACCAATTCTACTCTTTACCTTATTATGGCCATCACTTCCTCCTTGAATGATCTCTGGTGCCATATATTCGATGGTGCCACAGAATGAATAGGCTTTTTCATTCTAAAAAAAGAAAATTAATTATACAAATCGGTCAAATTAAAACCTTGCAATCACACAGTTAGGAAGATTCCACAATGGTCACACCGGACATCCAGTGCCGAGAACAGAAACCAATATCACAGCTATAAAGAAATAACTACAGTAAACTGCACAAAAATAATTCAGTTACCTCATCAGTGACAAACTCCTTGCTAAGTCCAAAGTCTGTCAAAACGATGTGACCATCACCATCTAATAAAATATTTTCGAGCTTGATATCTCGATAAATAATGCCAAGCTACCAATAAAAGTATGAGAAAGTAGTTTAGTATGATATGAAATATGAAAACAAATAACAAGTGAGCCAAGTGCTTATATGTACAGTTAGGATGTATTTATGGCATCATAAATATAATGTTTGCGATTCTGTTTGGCTGCGTACAAGCTGAAATATTTCTATAGATCAACTTTACCTTGTGTAGATGTTCCAGTGCAAGCACAATTTCTCCTGTGTAGATTCGAACTTCCGCTCCTGTAAAGTGTTCCCTTTGGTAGAGATGTGTAAACAACTCTCCCCCACTTACGTAGTCTATGTACAATGGATTCAGATAGCATGTCAACAAATGTTCTCAACTTCTGGCACTGCAGAAATCCTGGCCTTGTCAATTAAGTATAAAATGCTGAGCATATACTTTAAAATTGGCTGTATGGTTAAAAGCCCTTGTGGCATGGAAAAATAAATGACTTTTCCCATTTCATAGAATCACAGAATCATAGAATTATAGAATCATACAGCACAGAAGGAAGCCATTCGGCCCATCGTGTCTGTGCTGGCGCTTTGAAAAGATCTATCCAATTCAATCCCACTCCCCCGCTCTCTCCCATAGTCCTGCAAACCTGTCCTTCCCAAATAATTATCTACTTCTCTCTTAAAAGCTGTTATTAAATTCCCACACTTCCAAGCTTCCATTATGCTTTCAGGCAATGCATTCCAGATCCGAACAACATGCTATGTAAAAAAAATTCTCCTCACCTCTGTTTCTTTTAACAACTATTTTAGATTGGTGTCCTCAGGTTACCGACCCACCAGCCAGTGGAAATAGTTTCTCCTTGTTCACCAACCCTATCGAATCCCCTCATAATTTTGAAAACGTCTATTAAGTCTCCTCTTAATCTTCTCTGCTTCAGGGAGAATAATCCTAGCTTCTATAGTATCTCCTGATAACTGAAGTCCCTCATTCCTGGTACCATCCTGGTAAATCTCCTTTGCACCCTCTCCAATGCCCTGACATCCTTCCTAAAATGTGGGGCCCAGAACTGAACACAGTACTGACTATTTCGTTTTGGGTATATCTTAGGCTCCATCCTGTATCTCCCAGTGAAGTTACGGTCGAGACCAGAAATTCACCATGATGCAAGATGAGGAAACACCTAAACCATACTCAGAACACAGCACCAACAGGCTACATTGTGACACTGTCTTAGCAAAGAAGATGGCGTACATAAACTTACAGTATTCTTTTAACATAGTGCTTAAAGTGAAAATTTTCAATTAAAATGCAAGACAAATGTTGAATCAGAAAATAAAGATGTATTTAAGAGAAAGCTAGATATACAGATGAGGGACAAGGGAATAAAAATATGGGAGTGTGTGAAGATTCATATGGAGTATAAGCACCAGCAACAATAAATTGAACCGAATGGCCTGTTTCTTTGCTGTAAATTATAATAATTGTTTGAAATACTACCTAGAATGAGATGAAGTTTGGCATCTGTCTGGAAGGCATAGTGCAAAGTGACTAGAAAAGGAGACTGGCGGATATGTTCCAGAACTTGCCGCTCTGTCTTGATGTGCTCCATTGTTTTTGCTTTCTGCACAATGGAAGCTTTCTTCAGCACCTTCATTGCATAAAGTTTATCCGCATCATGGCCACTGATTTTTCTCACCAGAAACACCTTCCCATAGGCTACACATTAAGAAGAAAGATAATTTTAATTAATGTTTATAAAGTAACTGCGAAGGGTTAGTATGTGTTATTACAAAACTAACCCTATTAAACAATTTGAAAGGCCTATTTTTGCCCGGTAATTTAACGGTGCCTTGAAGTAGGCCCTTGTAAAACAGGTTTTGATGTACACTTTTAGTTTGGAAGTGAATTTTGACCGAGCCTACGCATGTAAATGAACAATCAGCAACCGTGATCAAAAACTCTAAACCAGTTTGGAAGAAAATTACTGCACTGCTCTTGCAGAGTGTATATTTTTCATGGCAACCATCCAAATAGGTTGTTTAGCAAGGGTGTGTTTGTACTGGCATGGAATACATGTGCCTAAATAAAAACAATAATATTTCTGACATTTTTCCTGATCCCACTTTATTTTCTTCCACCCATCAATGTCTCCTTGTAGCACACATCATGTGGTGAAAAAATGCAACATTCCATAACAAACTCAATGCAATAATTCAGTGTGTACATAAAACCTGTTTAAGATGCGTTGGAATTTCAACCGCTGATTTTAGACTGGTTTCGGGAATACCCTGATTTTGGCATCTGTGTTTTTAACCAGGGAAATGATATGAAAAGGGAAAGCAACCAACTTCATCCCTGACAACTGCTCTGTCGAGTGGACCAGTGCAAATATTACCATCGGTGATAATACATATTTTGAGTGATATGGAAAACTGTTAACAAATGCTATGGGCTGTTTTAGCTGTCAGCCTCCTCCCTGTTCAATACCCAACACATTTCATATAGAACCCTCATAGTCAGTGGAGAAAGGAAGGAAACGACTCTCATTGACATCATTGTGGATTTGATTTGAGTTCAGGGAGAAGTGAAAACCCATCAGTACAACAGTTAATGTTCTAACCCACTGCACCGTCCAGTTGTCTGAAGCAAGGTCAACGTCACACTATGTTCAAGCTCATAAATTAAGTCTGTAATAATGCACAAGTGTCATGAGGATAACAGTGTAATCCAAAAGGCAAAATTAAGGTTTTCTTCAGTTTGTTAAAAAGTCATTATTCAAGGGGATACATTAATATTGTATAATCCTGGATGTTTTCAACCAGGTTCCATTGAGATATATTTTATAGATTCAAGTGATCAAAGCGTACATTAACCAAACGAAAAGCCAAGGAAACTTCACTCAAGACTCACCTCCTGTTCCCAGAACCTTCAGCAGTTCAAAGTTCTCCAATCCAACTCTTTCTTTGTATCCCGTGAGGTTAGCTACAATTGAATTGAAAACGGACAATGACAATAAAGTATATAGACCAGCACACAGCGAGTTACTATTAATAACAACATTTACATAGCGCTTTTCACATTGGAAGGACGTCAACAGGACTTCCCAAGGCGCTATATTAATACAAGGTGCTGTATTAAAAATGGAAGAGACCTAACAGTATAAATGCTAAGCAATGTTTCCGAATATTCTGGTTGCAAGTTTGCAAAGGAGCTCAAAAACAATCAACCAACTCATTTATCCCAGACAACTGGGGTGAAATTCCACATGTATCTAGATTTATTCTATGTTGCATTTCAGAACGTGCAGACTTTTGGCAAACTCTAAATTACTGCTTTAATTTTGAAGCAGTATTTTGTAAGTTCTTTTAAAAACTTCAGAAAACCGACTTCAAGAATTCAACAATTTGCCAAATTCTGAATACTCTAAAATGCTACGCAGAGTAAATCTAGACACGGTGGTATTTGTCCCCAAATAAGTCATTTCAGTGATTAACTGAGGTGGATGTTGATGCATCTGACTATGAGCATAGAAAGACATATTGCACATCTTGTTTCTTCTTCAAGTACGTCACTTAGCAAACTGCCACCTAGCAAACAAAGGAAAATGAATATTGTTTTCCTAGCGCTCAAAATGCAATAGATAAAGAGTTACGAAAGGAGATTAGTACAGTGCCAAACCCTTGAGAAAACAAATCTATGACTAACCTAAAGAAATCATTGCTATAGTATATTGTGCAATAATAGAGTTGCAATATTCATTATGTTTTTCACCACACTTACTTCCGATCGGTTTCATAGTCCATATAGTTATATATAGTTCAGACATTAAACAGCATACAAGGTCTTTTCCAAAGCTATCAGAATCACCAAGATATCAGGATATTTTGGAAATTAGCATTTATATTCACGCAACTGCAACAGGAAGTCTTAGTTTATGGAGACCAAACCATGTCTACCTAAACAATCCATAAAAAACCACAAATGTGAACAAATTGGCTGGGGGGGGGGGGGGGGGGTAGGGGGAACAAGGAATGAAGGCTGATAGATTAATCCACACACCTTATGAAGACATAAGGTTTGCATGATTTCCATATTCCTGTGGTCTTTACACCTGTTGTGCTGCCTTATTGTGTAGAGTTCAATAAGGGAATACTGGAAGGTCAATGCAATACCCCAACTCGGTCAAATCAGTGCAGATAGCAGGAACGGGGATGAGTATCAGCAAAGATCAACACAAAGCATTAGAAGCGCTACATACAATAGCATTTGCAAATAGCTCTGGTGGGTCAGAGTAAACATAATAATAAAAATAAATAATTTTGCCTTTCACAACGACGGACATTCTTAAAGTACAGAATTTAGTCTAAAGTGTATTGACTTGTAAGTAAATGTGGCAGTCAATGTCTTACCATGACATGAATAACCAAAACATCATTCAGCTGCTCAAACCAAAGACCATTCATAGCCATTTATTATATTATGAACTCACTGCTCTCACTCAGTTTCCCACATAGCTTATACCATTAGTTATAAAATGTAACACCTCAAGGAAACAAACATTCACTGTACTTATTTTGTGCTACAATGACAATTCACCGTCATTAATCAACCTCACTTCCCCAATTTTTATTGCTTTTCTTCTTTTCTTCATTGGTGGGATAGGATTCCACACGTGACTGTTGTCTTCCACTGTCTTGCTCACATATAATTCGTCAGCTGATTTTTAGAGGCAATTGCTATCTTCACATAATGTCCATGCAGGCACACTACCTAGAAGTCATATATCAAGTCAGTACCTCAAACACTAGTTGATTTTCCTCTTCCCTCTCCATGGACGACAGATAAATTACCAGTCCTGGGAATTGAACCTGGGATCTTCCTGGTCTACATGGCTCAGTAACCACACTAGGCAATACACTTACCTAATGAATCAATCAGTTTTGTCTTTGTATCTTCATAGTATATACATATATATATTATATATAGTGTTTGTGTAGATTTGTTCTGAATATACCCTCCCCTTCAATCGCAGGCCGTGTTCTCTGGTCTTACTATTCTGGACAACTTTTACTATTCTGGACCTAAATTTCCAAATTGGTTTTTGCATATTTCATAACATCCAGTCACCCATATCCACCTTTGAGCTAATCTTTTTCATTTAAAAGAAACACATTGTATTTGTTTCCAATAACTATGTTAGAGAGGTGATGATATACTTGTTTGCAGGTATTTTGGTTCATAAAGGACCTGTCTTGAGTATGAAATGCTTTCTAACTGGCAAACTATCATTGGTGCACTGACACCCTCAGGACTGAATTTTCACAAGTAAGGCCACTTACATATTTTATATTTATATATAAGTGACTATTCAACTCCACTTGAGTTCTGTTAATACAGCACAATGAACATGTTCTATAGCCTAAAACAGTGTAATTTCATTATTCAAAATGTCATAGCAAATTATTTAATTTATTTTGAAGAAATTATTACCCCCGGAAAAGCAATCTGCCAATTGACTGACAACCAAGTTCCAATATACCTCTAGGTAAGCAGAGGAGTGTGGAGTAAGGAAACTTGCCCAACATATCGCTCTGCTGGGAATCGAACCCAGGTTCTCTCGCTTGCGAGGCGAGTGTTCTAACCGCTAAGCTACAGGACTCCACTGTACCACAAAGTTTGCCAAGATTAACTTGGGACAAAGCAACCAGAACTAAAGATAGTCAGTACTGTTTTTTTATTTTTTATATGTTTTACATTCAATGTATTTTCTTTTTAAATAAAGAATATTTTGTGGTTGCCTCACATTATAAACCATCAACGTACACTAATAATCTCACCTTTGATTTCTATGTGATACCAACATATCTGGAATGAAATGAAACTCGTGGAATTGGAACAAAAGCAGCCAAGATGCCTCTAATCTGTTGACTTTCTATGCCATTCTAGAAAGGAAGAGAAATGGAGAAAATACATCCAGAACAACTAGCGCCATAAGAATGGCAAATGGTCCAAATCTCCTGGTTGCCACATCCCTGCTGCTTAAACAGAAATAAGACAGGAGGGGGTTGTGTTTGTTGATGGAAGGAGATTTATAGATAGGTGAAGGTAACTGAATTAACCTCTCTTGGGATGGATATTTGATTCCTGGAAGCAAACCACCTACCAACTGAGTGAATAACATTTATTTACAAGCAAACTCACATGCCTACTTTAAGAAACCAACTAAACTCTGCTTTCCATATAAGCTTCAGGAACACAGTGTTCTCAGTATACTGCGTGGAAAAAGTGCTGAATTGTGGGCGTAGGTCTTTTGTTTGTTTTCTGAATGATCAAAAACATTTTGATTGGGGTAAGATTTTGTTATTGTCATTCCAGCTAACAGAAATGAAAAAGCTGTGTTGAAACTGCCAACATAGCCAGACTGACATCTGATTTACCTTTAAGAGAATTTATTCAGATTCGCATGTAGTAAAGACTTAAGCATCATTGTCAAATAATAAAAATAATAATCATACCGCAGGCGATGCTTATCCTTTGATATATGGTTAATGGACTAAATTCGAGGTAAAAAAAAAGTTGATATTGAGTGAGAAACATCTGCCTGTAAATGATTGCAAAACTGTTACAAAATATTGTGAAATAAAAATACAGAAATGCAGGAAAGCCACTGCAGATTGTACAGACTCTGAAAAAAGTTAAGATTTTAAGGATAACCCTAGTTTCATTCTGATGAAAGTTTATGCTTTAATGTTAATGTTTAATGCTAATCTATGTTTTTGTTTCAAATGCTGATTGACTAGCTGTAGATTTCCAGCATTCTAGTTGTCTATTCATGTTTCCAGTGTTCGGTTTGTACTTCATCTACTTTTATGCTTCAGTTTTAGAATTTTTTTTAAAGTAGCTAAGTGTTTTTACATTGGTCAATCAGTAAATTAGAATGGCAAGAACTGCCTATCCTCTGGTGTTTGTGAGATAGATTGTGATCTTTATAACAGAAATGCTAACTACACGATAGTAGCTTAATACTACATTGAAATATCCAAAACATTCTTTGTCTGCACATGAGCTGGGGGGGTGAAATCTTATTGCATAACAGGAGATAAGGCAATAATGATTCTCCTGATGTTGCAACAATTCTACCACTCCATTTACTGGATCTGTCGGATTTCCTAACTGCATAAACAAGCAGTAAGTGTCAACCCTTCTTTACGAACAATTACCTCCTCATCTTTACCTCCTCACAGGTCACACCTCTTCCCTTCGCTATGTCAACCTGCTGCAAGGTACTGCCGAGGGCACTCTAAAACACAGGTGCATGGAGATGCGCAAGAGCAGTCAAATGTCATGTTCCTCTTACTATCAGAGTCTTCACTACAGCACTACAGCGCCTTTGTCCTGTATTCTGCAGCAGTTTAAAAGGGCAGAACAGTTTGCAGCACTTGTTTATTTAGAATAGCAAACGTAACCAAATTATCACAAGTCAGTATTCTTCTTCAGTTTGATAAATTGAGTATCATCTCAAAATACTGCTATGATACTCCGCCCCCAGTCTATGTCCAAATCCTCTATGTATATTGAGAAAGACCATCCAAATGCCACAAGCAACATCTTGCAAATCTGAGAAGGATCTGTTTACTTCTACTCTCTGCCTTCTATTCTTCAACCAAACCTTTATTGTCATTGTTTCCCATTTAGAGCTTTAATCTTTACAAGATCCCTTGAGTAGCGTGGTCTGACTTTCATTTTCAAAGTCCATGTCATCCACTGGATTCGCTTACCTAAAGGAGTGGTAATTTACTCAAAACTCAACCAACAGCGCGAGACAAAAACAAGGTGCAAAAGGGTGAGAGATTTTACGTAGGATGATCATAACGGAAATACCAACAATAGATAATTTAACATTCCTCTTGTTCCTGTGTAAATCACTTTACATTATCACTTTACAACTCCAGATGCAAATGTTCATTTAGATTAACAAAGGT